CAGCTGAACACATCAGCTTTGCGTACATTCCTGTACGAGACAATGGCCATAATCAACAGCAGACCACTGACTGTGGATGATTTGGAAGACTCTAACGAGCCCCTTCCTCTATCGCCAAACAATATCCTCACAATGAAGTCTGGAATTGTCACCCCTCCACCTCCTGGAGATTTCGTTGAGGGAAGATATATATGCGAGAAAGAGGTGGCGCAGAGTCCAATATCTGGCTAATCTGTTCTGGACAAGGTGGGAAAAAGAATATTTGTACAATCTTCAGTCGAGAAAAACCTGGCAAGGTACCAAAGAAATTTCAGAGTTGGTGATATAGTTATGCTAAAGGACGAGAACGTCTTTCGCTCTGATTGGAGATTAGCTAAAGTGGCAGAGACCTATCCCTCTAGTGATGGTCTTGTGAGAAAGGTAAAGCTACTAATGGCCACCTCAGACTTAGATAAAACAGGTAAGCCAATTTACAATAGAACATTTTTAGACCGTCCAATTCATAAGCTGATTCTTCTCATTTTCTGTCATGAAGGATTGAAATGATGTTACTTCTTCTACTGAGTAGACATAGTAGTTGACCTTGATCGTTCACATGTTTTACATTGATAAGGCGATATTTGTTTATTCCGAATACCTCCTCTTTTTAGAAATCATCTTGGATGATTTGGGTGGGAGTGTGGCTGCCGTTGCCCGAGCAACCTAAACTTTGCCGTGTTCCCGCGCTTTGTTTAGCCTCGTTCATTTGTCGGCGTGCTATGTATACGTGAAAGACGTCTTCTTCCGAATTATTCTACAGGTTATACTAAAGGTACTGTAGTTTTGTTGTTTAGACTTGTTCCTGATTCTTTTAGTGCTCCCACTCGTTTATTTATCTCACGGCAGTTTTTGGTGTTGTGCGCGCACTATGCTGTATATCATTGCCTATCTATTTGCATAGTAGCACTGGTACTTATGACAATATAAATACGCAAGTTCATGTTATTATTTTCTGAACGTATACTATTGTATTTCACAGTTTTGACGGTGTTACAATCTTCTCAATATTGTTCGTCATAAATAAAGTGAAGGTTACATCAGTATTTTGCGTTGGTTACTGGGGCAGCTACAAACATCATCTTGAGTTTTCCTTGCCAGTCCTACCATTATATCAAAATCATGTACTCTGTTTACTAGCCTGAAATGTAGGCGTGAGTGGCGCCGTCGCCGAACGGCATCAGACCCCACTAACGCTTGACAGAATAGTATATGTCTCTTCGGCTTAGATCAATACTGCGAATTCGCAAAGTTCACGCCTTCTTGCAATGAGTTTCAATGAATAATCATGTTGGTGTCCATGATAACACCGCGCGGAGGACACAACTCACGTGATCCTTTCAGGCTACAACATATATTTCCTGTGCAGACGCTCACTCAGTCGTAACCAAGTTGACATGCTGTGTTTGCATTGTTGGCAAAGATTCCAGACTGTTTTCAACAAGATGATTGGGCGGAAATTTGACAGTAACACATCACACATTATGTCAACAAATACATTCTGACGGGAATGGTTACTCTTTAATGGCTGTCGCTATCTGACGTTCCTGCAATTTGATTGGCACCGACAAAAATCATCGGGGGTTGGTGAAAACATACGTCTTTCTTTCAGGCGTGTGTTGGGGTTGGAGCAAAGCGAGAGGCGCTACTCGACTAAAACTGTTTACATTATGTCCCATAACCTCTCCAAAAAGCGTTTTTCACTGACCCTGCTCTTTGGCTGATTTAAGTATATCACTCTTTTGTTCTACTTTGTTAACTCAAAGGCAGCAATGTTTTTTTAGTCCGTAGCCTCCCGCCTTCTCCAATGAAGCTCCAATTATTCACAAGATCAATATGGGAGACTCTTTATGGATGGACTATTAGATCTTGGGAGGGGGTGGTAAAACCAAGGAGAATTTTTGTTTTTTACTATCCAAATTCCTAATTTTATTTTTTTTACACAGAATATGTTTACATTATTTATTTTTTTTACAAAATCCCCGAAGTGGAACATCAATTGACTTTGTTGAAATAATGGGTTTTTTCCAGTCACCTCTCTCAAATTATTTTTGTTTCCGAATTGTGACCACCCCTACCAAAATCTAATGGTCCATCCCTTATTACCATGCACATACATACAGTGCTGTTTGGCTACTATCTCTAACAATGCGGGTGTCAACCACAGCGTAATTAGTACCATATCTTAGTTAGTTAGTTCTGCAGCCGAGGTAGTTCTTAGGTAAACATCATCTAGCATTTGGTGTACTTGACACAATAATTGACCCCACCCTCACTGGGGTATAAACAGTATACTAATACACTACAGTTGTATAAATCAGCAGTAGTGCACAGTATTGATCATTTCCAGTTAAATAAACTAGCAATAGCGATTATGATAATAAATATAGCCTCATTGCAGCAATGCCGGGTTTCGAGTCAGTTATGCATATTAATGATATCCATATCCATATATGGTCATATTTTATGTTAGTCACATCTCTTGTTCAATGGCTTCAATATTGCAGTGGTTGCATATCTATCAATGGCATACATGTAGCATAAACACAGTAATTATTGGAATGAAAGGCAGTTTCACCAACTTGACAAAACAGTTCATGTGACTCGTCCACATTTTTTGTGTTGGTTCGAAATGTTACAATCTCACAAGCACCTGTCTCTTAGAGGGTCTCTAACTTACTATCTAACCGGCGATTAGATCCTCTAGGCACCCTATCAGACTATGTTTCAACAAGTTGGCTCAGATCGGCATGGTTTATCTTCAACGGTAAACCATTCAGTCGTTGTTCTCCTTTCTCTGACATCTTCAGGTTAATGAACTTATAATGTAATGCCTGTATGCCAAAGGACATCACTCACGTAGAAAAAAATAAGTTTGATATCTCCAACATTATGATGGTACATGACTCTCCCTGTTGGTATTCTCAATGCCAAAAAACACGTCCACACAAATCACTACCTGTAATTCTTATCTGGCATTCAATAAAATAGTTTAATTATGTAATAATTATTATATGAATATATGGGGTCAAATTTACTTCCTGCAACACAGGGTTAATGTGTAATTACTTTGTTAAATATTGTCTAAGCATGAGGAGTGTGTCATTACAGTGTAGGGATTAAGTGTAATCCTGGTCAGTTACAGAACACAAAAGGAAATGATTGGAAACATGTGCATAAGAAAATTGACATAACAGGTACTATATAAATTTAAACTGTATTAGTTTTGGCATGATAATCAGCGATAAACGTCGTCGTCCAATAACAATGTATACGATACTCACCTAAGATACAATGTTGTGTTCGTAGCCACGTGTTATTTGCATGTCGATAGCCTATTTTCTACTGGATCAGTGACGACTCGCCGACAACATTTCAAACCATATTGATCAAAGAGTAGTGTATGTTGAGAACAGTTTTTGATTACTTGACAAATGAGCATGGTATAAGTCACATTACTTTTCGAATCTAACGGGTATAGTATTAGTAAAGCCTGAATCATTCATCATCAGCTGCATCCTCGGGTTCAAAGGATGGCGGCGATAGACGCCAAACTTATTCTACTATTCGTGAGTATAATCGGTTAATGGTATACTTGATCATTGCCGAATGTTATCACATTTATTTTGCCCTTGATCGTTTTCTCGCTTTCTTATCCGACCCTCTGCTTCCAGGGCAATCCTGGGCCATACAGGTTAATATTTAAATACATAATTAAATATTATTTAACATTAGAAGTAGGCCATTATATTGTGGAAATTAGGTGCTTTTTGGTAGCCCTAACCTGGAGTTTAAATTAAACCTGCAAATTAAAGCGTCGAACTCAAACTCCACATTCTTGGCGCCGGGCGTCTTTCTCAGTTGAACTTCAGACTTTGTTGTTAAACGCCAGGCTCGGCTATGGTAGTACGTGGAACTGCTCGCCAGATTCCAGAGTCATTCAAAGCGTAGACACCCTTTGGTGGACACGATCTCCAGCAGCAACAACCTCAGAATCTTGCTGTCTCAGATTTCAAATACCATGAAGTCGCACAGTTTATTTAAACAATGATTTGTTTCTTATAATACGACGTTTAATATTGGAAACAAGTACAACTTAGATGGGACCCTGTCAACTATTCGCGTTAATTAAATTTCATCATCTCACTATAAGACGCATAAATATATTAGTAAACTACTTACTCATAAACATAATTATTATTGTTGAATTAATTTATTGAATATGTTAAATCAGTCGTACTAATTTGTTTACAATATTTGTTTTCAATAGAAATTGTATTTACTGTTTAGTATTATATAATTTGATATTGGTTGTTATTTTGTTGATTTAAATCGTTTTTACATAGTTGTGTTTGTTTTTATATGTCACTTTCTCAGGATACATTTGGTGCGATGGGTTCAAAAAGAATGGTGGTAGTGTTCTTTTTCTTAGTTGTAACGTGTCTTGTCACACTTGTATTTTATAACCAAGAAACGGTTGGGTATTATGACAGGTAAGATGGGACATACGAGTGGTAACACGCTGAAATGCACAGCCTCGATATTGTAAAAAAATTATACCGGGGGTTTTGGCAGAAGAAAGAAGGAGTAATTCCACTATTTTTGACAGTTAATGTTATGTGTGATATTATTGTTGAACAAGCACCACGAAATCGTCAATAAAAAAAACTGATGATCGGTCACATGACTGTGTTTTCGATGGTTTAGATGGATGCCCAGTGAAATAACTGGCAAGAGTCGCGCTCACATCAAAGGTATGTTGAGTGTACACTGCGTTGTGTCTAGGTTAATTGCCACTGCATCGATCAGCAATTATTAGCAGTTTCATAATATATGGCACTAGTGGTGGTGGTGATTTGTGGGGAATATTACATTTTGAGACGTTTTCCCGGGTTGAAAGTAACTGCAAATGTGTGTGTACTAGATTGTGTGCAATGATAATATTTAATATCAAAATCTGTGAATTTATAATTATTTTGTATTAGACACCAGTATACACTGAATTGTATGTTTTCATTGCGAATTGTTTCTATGTTGTATACACATTGTCGTAATAAGCTCACATTTTACAGTTTTAACTGTTTTTCTATAAATGAAAATTTGGCACGTAGTTTAATGATATGTCGTTTTTTTAGATTGTTACGGTGGAAGACGTAGCGGTGTTCTTTTATTTAAAAGTTTAACGGATTTGTCTTGCATATATAGCACAAGAATATATTCTTCAACTTCGATTTTCTTCTAAACACGAGTAACATTATTAATAAATTATTAATCCCTGCACAAAAAGTAGTATTATTAATAATGAAAATAACGTTTACATATTTTGCAGAATCACGTCCTTTACTGTACCAGCTCGTATTATCGATCCTAGTTCTACATCGATTAGAAACTTTGAAGATCTTCGGTAAGCGGATTTGTAGTTATCGCACTTGTAATGAATCGTAAAATATTTCTATTGGGCATACAATTACTTAAAAAATGATGTGGCGTAAATACATACATTTCTTTTATTTTTATCCATATCCGGTAAATGGTCAACATCTGAATCGTAATACTGCTGCGACATTGTTCAACTGTCATCTGGGAATTCCACAACAATAAAGAAAAGGTGCAGCATTGCAGTGATCAATGCATATGTATAGACATATCCATCTGACAGTTTGTTATGAGGTCACAGGGTCGGGTCAAATATTAACCCAAAACACCAAATAATATTTAATATTTTATAATCTCGTGTACGGGTTCATGACCAATATAAAAGTACACAATTCCTTTAACACAGGGGTAATCTAGTCTGATTGGCACTAGTATTGTTTAATACAATTACATATAATTAGTAACGATAAAGCACACTGGTCAATCCTACCGGTACGACGCGATGCATGAATTGGGTGAAGCCATACTAGGTACACAATATATGTGCTTTAAATTGTTCTCGAGTTCATCAGTATCGCCTGCCACTGCAATGGTTCAGCACTAAACGCTGCTCTCATCACGCACAAGCGCAAATATCCGGTCAAGAAATTATCCGGTCAAGAAATTACGCACTGTGGATACTACAGCAAAGTCGGTAATGATTCTGTGACAAGGAGAGATATTTCTTACTCGTCAAATATTCCAGTGATATACACATACATAAATATTTCATAAACAAATTGGTCAGGGAAATCACAATTATAGAAATTAATGACATAATCCGGAAAGACTGTCCAGTACTCCCACCCATTACAAGTCCAGGAGTAACGAGCGTGTCTGGAGGAATGTTCGGTACCTGACGTTTCCCGAGTGCGTCGAATTGTATCAGTAGCCAGAGACTGAAGTTCACAAATTCAAGCGTCGAACTCTAAC